CTCTAAAATATAAAAAAAAAATTGCTATATTTATAAAATATCGTGTATGTCACACATTACGTTACTCGTCAACTCACCCTCTTGTCACTCGTCAGATCACGCGTTACGTTACTTTGGTGGGCGCCGGGCTTAAGAGGCTCATAAAAATATTGTTGTGGATTTACGATCAACTTTTTTTTTTAATTTCTACTTACACAAACTTATGGGGAATATGTCACCTTACTGAGAATTATGTTTTTCCATGTGATTTTGAAGAGTACTGGGGACTTTTAATTTTTACCTCCTGAATGCACCAACTTGATTTAATTTACCAAGATAAAAATCAAACAATATTTCAACTACTTATATTGTACACCGACATGAAAAGCAATTAAAAATAAAAACAAATCATTGTAAAATTAATACATTCATTGCTCAGCTCAGAATCTATAAGTTATATTTATAATAAAAATTACGAAGAATTTTTTTTGTCTTGTTTTTACCCTAAAAATATATGGTCACATTAGTTATACATAAGTAGTATGTAACTATGTACGTATAGAAGTAGTAAGCGTTAGCAATGGCGGCTCGTGAGGTTCACCTTAGGTGGTGCAAAAGAAATGTATAAAATCTCTATGGAAGATGGTAAATATATTAATTTTCTTATAGGTGCTACAAAAATACTGTACCTACTTACTTATCTAAATCAATTTTTAATAATGTACAGTGTTATCGTTTCGACGATCGACGCGACATCGTGATTTGATAAAAATAGGTTTGGTGCACACCACGATTTAAGGTAGTATCTTAAATCGTGGTGCACACATTAAATGTGCTCCAAACTCCCATATATTACTAACCGATGCGTCGAGACATGTAGCTAATATTTACACGGCCGCCTGGAGCACAAACAATTTGTACTACGCGAATTATTTAACTTATAAAGAATCACTTCTCAAAATAAAAAAACTTTTTTTTTTACAAACCGTGTGCATAATAATCAATTATTTATTAGTATATAATATATTACCTTAGGAATCTAATTATTTTTTTGGGTGGTTCACGTGCTCCTGTGTACCACGAGCCGCTATACGTCAATACCTACTCGTCCAAATTCCAAACATCATTTACATAACATAAAGCCAAAATAAATACTTTAAAAAAAGCAATTTTTTGTATACTTGTACTGTATTTTTCACATTTTTGCCATACATTTTAGTCATGATATTAATTATGATTATTTATGGATAATTATTAATTAATAACACTGAATCATAACACATGAGTCCATTACCAATACAGTACAGTAGAAGAAAATAGTTTAAATTTATATATCTGGTTTGATAGTTGTATGTACACAACAAAGTTTTAAAATGTTAACTATTTTATTATCAAATAACAAGTATTAACAGTATATTTCACACTAAGAATATATAACATCATAAAGATTTATTATTTAAAAATAAAATGATCAACAAAATAATCAAATTGAATAAATAAAATATTTTTACATAACAAAAAAAAAGTATATTTATCTAAAAGTATTGATAAGTGATCATTACAAAAATAGATATTTGCTTCAGTTAAAATTAAATTAATATTGGTAATCAATATAATTTTTTGAAATATACTAGATACCTATTTGAAAAGGACTAATACGACATTAACATTCAATGAAAAAGAGAATATTTAAATTTAAAATAAAACATTTAAGAAAAAATAAAAATATCAATAAGTAACAGAGAAACATAGCATAATTTTAAGTTTTCTAAAAACACAACAATAAATAAATAATAGCGATTAACAATTATTAATCTGAATATCTAAGTTTTCAATTAAAATGGTTCATCATAAATTAACTACTTGGAACTGCTAAATATATAAATTTATATTTATACTTAATATTGGTTTAAAAGCTTATTCATAAAAAAATTCTTGGTAATTTTTTAATTAATTCAATGATCTAAAGTACTTTAATAGTTAATTATTATTTATTTCTACGTTCTACCTAATCACAAAAATAATTTGTATTTCTTTAATAGCATTCACAAGTTGTGAATACATCTTTAAATTATATTAATAACTACCTAATACTGATTTTTTAAAAAAAAACGGATCTCTAAATAAATATAGAAATTTATTTAAAGTTATGTACAGAGCCTGGAACTTGATAATATATTACTTAGGAAGCAACATATTCAAAATCTGGTTGAACATGAATTTACTACAGAAGTTCAAAATAGATACATTCATCTTAAATCAAAAATTATCTTTTGCATAAACTTATTGAATTATAATTGTCTGTAATTGTTGAGTTTTAAAATTAAAATTTCAATGCATTTTTATTTTGATATAACCACCCTATGCTTTTTATATATTATTATTATATTTTACAGGTATAATATTGATTAAAGTGCTAATAATAATTAAATCACCAGTATATAAAAAATAAGATAATGTATTGTTTTGCATGATTTAACTTTTCAAATAATCATGCAAATTTGAAAATTATTTGCTTATAAATGCATTTTCACTGATTATTTAGTCTATTTTTAATGCGAACTTGTGAAATAATATGTATTGTAGCATATTAAGTTCCAAGCTCTGAATATGTATATTAAATATATATATAAATATATTTATTTATTGTTTATATGTTATGAAATCACTAAATTACTGAGATCTCTGTAAAACTTTCTAACTCAACCTAGCCTTATCATAAAAATAATTTATTAAATTTAATTGTGGTTAAGATTTAGTTAATTGTTAGCTTAAATAAATATTAAATTATATAATGGCACAAAATTTAAGTCTATAATATATTCCTTGCTCAGATTTTAAAATAGTAGTATAATAAAATTGTTTAAAAATAATTTACAGAAATTAATTTAACTTTGAAAAAAATGCTTATAACAATTAAATTAAACTAGGTAGGTACTAATTTGAAAATAATGTTTTTCAACTATTAATTAATACTTATTCCTAACATTCAATGTAAATTACAGTAAATGTTTTAATATATTTCCATACGAATCTTCTGCAATTATAGTTATACCATTATTTGCTAACTGTACTGGAAGAATGAATGTACGTTTGTTATTATTTTTAACAAATTCCCATGAGTGCATGACAAGGCCATCCTCTCTTCTTAATTGAACTACTCTTAACCCATTTCTTGAAGTCAATAAATTTCTATAAATTGAATGCATTATTAAAGTTTTATGATTTGTTTTAATATCTATAAATTATAATGATATATAACCTTTTTGCTACATAATCAATTGTGTGTTCATTGTTGTTTTCTTCTTTGAAATCATTAAACCATCTGTAACCATAATTAAGATCCATTTAAATTAAAATAAAGTACACAGATTAACAAAAAAAAATTATACTTATGAAAGGAAAGTATCGATGCACATCCCATAGACCAACATATTATGTGTTTTGAATCATACTCATCTATTGTTTCATTTTCATTTTCATTTGTATTGTTATTATTAGACATATCGTCCTTCATATTTATTGTATTCGAATAATTTTCAATACATATAATATATCCTTTGTTGGCAGGCTTTATTTCTTGAGCAATATTTTTATTATCCAATGTAAAAATTAAATGAACATTATCGAATCCTCGTCCCATTATGCCATATTTAGAATGGCCTAAATCGAATGTGTGTCCCAATTCATGCCATACAGAACCTAAGGTTGTGCTAAAGCATCCACCAAAATTTCCTCTATAAAATCAATCAGTTTAACATTCTCCTTTACAATGAAAAAAAAAATAATAAATACTACAAACCAAATTACCTGAAACAGCTGTCATCCAACAATGTGCCAGTATCGACTTTTGCCATGTTCATGAAACATGGTAAGACTTCCTCTAACTTACTAGGCCAAGTGTAAAGACAACCCGTTCCAAATAATGCCAGTCCACCACCACCCAATGCAACATGACCATGTAAATTTTGTCCATCCCAATAAGTACATGATAGGAAAGCTAAATATTTTTGAGTTTTAGAATTTTGACCAGCAGTCAACTCCCTGGCAATATATTCCCATAATTTCTCAGGATGCATGTTAAATACTGTACGCCTTGTTAAAGAGCTTTTAATTATACGACATTCTTTTTCAACTTTAAATGTTTTCTTTCCAAAGCCTTTTTCATACATTTTTTCAGCTGTCAGCATTTGAATTAATTTGGAGCATAATGTTATTTTAGTGCAAGCGTTTTGAACAGAATTATCATGATCTACAGGGGCCTAAAAATTAAAACAAAAATAAATACATCTAAACATTGTTGAGTATTTGTCATTTATTTGAAATATACATGAGTAGGTAATTAAGATAAATATTTATTTAGTTTATTAATTTTTTGATCATAAACGTTAAAGCCTAGAATTTACCTGGAATCTACCATCATGATCAGCACAAATTACGTAAACTGGACACACAGTGTAGTTAGTAACTCTTTGTTTGTATACTAATTTTGTGTGTAAGACTTCATTGGCAAATTTAAAAACCAACATATTATCGCCAATTTTTAATTCTATTATTATTTTAAATTTATTTTTATTTACTGTCCAGCGAGATTCTGCTAACTGTTTACCATTGTGTGAGTAATGTTTAAGTATAATATTTGATTCATCGTGTGAGTCAACTAATCCTTTAATCAAAATAGTTGAATAAGTAAATATTTCATTATTTGTAATGTTCGTCAAGCGTATTTTGTTCATTTTAAATTATTAGACATATGAATGAGACAAATAAAAGTTAAAAGCGCATTAGTAAAATAAACGTTTCAGAAAATATTAAAATATGTATGTAGGTAGGTACTTTAATACAAATGTAAGTATTGCAGTATTCGATAAACGAGAATAATAAATTTAATTTTTAAATCCGCGCTCGCGCAGTATCAGTGGCTGTAGTTTATATCACAAAATAAATTCTAAATAGGATCAATATCGTTATCACCACAGAACTTAACAATTTGTTGTAAGTGATAAGTCTAAAGAGCGGATTTTAAAAATTAAAAATATGATTATTAATATTATTATTATTTAAATTATTATTATTATACTATTTAGTGTGAAACAATATTTTCTATGGTGCAAAGTATTAGATTGAAGACGATCGCCATACACAATATTACCGCAAGTTTAAAATAAACGATCTAATAATTAAATGTTATTAATTTGGCCACACTCACAACTCGTTTCTCAAACCATGGATTTATTTGAGACATGGGAAGATCAAGAAATCCAATTCGATTTAAGTATTAGGTAGGTAATTTTTATTTAGGTACCATCGTATACTCAATTTATTAGTTAAATAAGTTTCAGTCATTTTTCTTAAAATTATTTATAAATAAATTTCCTAATAGGTAATATTATAATATTATATTATTAGCCGATGCCACTTCATGGGATAATTAATCACACAAAAACAGTTTTTCATATTATAATTAAAAAAATTTATTTACCTCAAAATGTATTAAAATTACGTTTTTTTTGTTCAAGCAAAGCGTTGAAAATGAGAAATGGAGAAAAAATAATAGATCGTCTAGAATTTATTGAAGATACAAAAGGAAATAGTGGTGATAAAGGAGTACTTGTTATTACAAATTTGAGAGCAATTTGGCATTCGATGACTTTAGCCAGAATAAGCTTATGTGAGAAAAAGTATACAATACCTCCTATAGTAGTATAAAATACTACACTCATAAATATGTAATTTATTATATTAATATTATTTTGTATGCACAATTTATAATATTCTATATAGCTATTGGCTACAATTGTATACAGGATATTTCTACAAGAATAGTGAACTCGGTAAGCGTTAAAACACTTGTTTGTGTGCAAGAAACCAAATTGCTTAAAAATATTTATATATTTTAGAGATTAAAAGGAATAACAGAAGCAATTTATATTCAAGCTAAATACAATGGATTGAGGTATGAATTTGTCTTCACAAATTTGATACCTGGTAATACAAGGCATTTTACATCATTTATAGGAGTTTTCAAGTATGCAATTACAAAAATTATTTTACAATAATTTATAGTATCCAAAACCGTTTGCAATAAATTTGGTTTCAGAGCTTATAATTCTAGTAGACTTTACCGAGAATTAAAACTTAGGGGAGCAATATTAAAGAATGGGCGTTTAAGGCTATTGATGTTCGAAAAAATGTATTCAGCTGTTAATGGCGTATGGAATTTATCTAGTGAACAAGTAATCAGTTATTACTTATTATCAATAAAAACTTTTATTTTTTCAAAATGTATACACATGATTGTTATTATATTAAGATTTCTACATAAAATATATTTATTACCAGGGAAACTTGGGAACATTTATGATAACAAATATTCGATTAGTGTGGTATGCTGAAAGTAATGAGACATTCAATATATCGCTTCCATACATTCATATAAATTCAGTATAATAAAATTTTTTTTGTAAAATAAAAATAAAATCTAATTTAATAATTTCTGGACTAGATAAAAATTAGGGAATCCAAATTTGGTGAAGTGTTAGTGATAGAAACAAATGGTTACAGTGGAGGCTTTACACTTGGATTTCGAATAGATCCCAAGGACCGATTACGATCAGTTACTAAAGAACTATCATCATTGTTTCGCATTCATGCTCAAGCGCCAGAATTTGGAGTACATTTTGTTACTACCGAACAGGTTCTTTTTTGTTTTCAACATATCTATTGCATACTTATTAAATTATACTAAATATATTTTAGGTAGAAAATAATGAACCCATAACACTACAAACACTCCCAAACTATGATGAGTTTGAAGACGAGAATACAATAGGTGTTTCAAGTACTTTAGCTGCATATAGTGTAAGTAAGACAGGTAAAGAAGATGGACTACCACAGTATGATTCTTCATTAGGTTTAGCCATTGAAACATTGCCAGATGGTTATACAATGACATCTTTATGGGAAGTTATACCAAGTACCAATAATAAATAACACATAACTATTAAAAATGTCTTATATTTTAAGTGAACAAATTACAGTAGCTTTTAGTATTTAGCTTTAGCATACCAATCTGTATGAAATATAACGTCCAGCAGTTTCAGAATTTCTTACAATTTTTACTACCTGTGAACAAAAAATAGATTTACTTAAATGATTTATATTAGTTTTATTCAAGATAACAGATGTGTACTATTAATTTTTAACGATAGTGCTTGAATTACTATAATGGATACTGGTAATTTGTAAGACCACTAAAATGGCATATATTAGTATTTACTTAAAACCCTGTCGCAACTTTTTTGTTTTCACACTATATAAATATATCTTTTTATTAATCGCCAATTGGTTTATGTCAAATTATATTATTTAATAGGATGTCAGATGTTTGTGAATTATTTGTTTTTTCTCTCTGACACAAGCGCAACATAGCACATTTACATTCAGCAGAACTAAATTTGTGTTGTTAGCTTTCATTTAAAAGATGCAAAAACAAAGATGATGTTCTGAACTTTAAGTTTAATGATAAATGGTAAATTTACTCAATACTAAAGCTAATAACACTGGGTTGGTTCTCTTGAACGCCAATTTGCTATGTTGAGGGTGGATCAGAAAAAGAAAAATAATTTGTGCTGAAATCCTTTAAAGGTATATTATATAAGATATTATAATTGTTATTGTGCTATACAATGGTAATCAAGTCATGTCTATGTTGAACAAACGACTATCAGTGATTTATAAAATATATCAGACAACTGTTAGTATATTTATTATTTTGTAAGTAACCAAATAAATGCCAAACTGTTCGCAAATTGAAATACAAATGTAAGAGAGTTTTTTTTTTTTTGATATATTACACAGTATTAAATTTTTTAATAATGTATCTTAAATATTTTACTATATTTTATTCAAATAGACCGACCTTTTAAAAATTATACCTTAATCGTTATAAGTATGGCTACACTACATCTGTTATCATATATTATATTAAAAATATTATGTTCAATCTTACTTGTCCTCTTTTTAAGCCGAAGTAACGAGAAACTGGATCACCTACTTGAATTCTCATAAGCTGATTTTCTTTTAATTTGCTGATTTATTTCAGTTAAAGAAAATAAGATACATACAAATAAAATTGAAATAATAATATGGTTTATTAAAAACAAATACCATACAACTTCTCACCACAGCAAACATTCTAATAGACAAGAATTAGTGTTACATGAGGTAATATTAATGGTATTTAATTATAATGATTATAAACTAATGTAGTAATGTATTACTATAACCCATACCAAACTTGCAGTAAAATTATTATATGTTCACATTCCCGTATATAATCAAGACCGTATAGGGAAGCAAACATAAATATGATGCCTCTAATTTATTAAATGCTATTTTTTACAACTACATAACTAAAAAAAAATTGTATACACTAGTGTAAATGGGTGTAGTTACCATACACTAATAAACATGTAAAGAATGAGCGCCTTCATACATTTCCACGTTAAGCATACACTCAGTTTGTGTATTTAAGTAAAAAGCATTGTTCTATTCCTGGGGATTGCAATCCCAGAGACAAGGGGTATTTGCAGTGTTGGTCTGAAATAATTAAATACATGTACAATTGTTTTTAGTATAACTAATACTAGCAAAACACACTTAATATCGTTCTTCTTGTTTCCAATAATACAAATAGTATTTAACTGATGGGAATTGTCACAACACAATAACACACAAACAAAAGTAGATATTATCTTGTCAATAGATGTGGAAACTACAACCAATGACTCTCCCCGGCCATTCAAGTATAGATGGTATTTAATTAGACACATTCAAAATGTTTACTTTCCGTAGCAAGTGTATACTAGTTATTTATACAAAAATTGATAAAATATTTGCAATTGGTAAAACCAATAGTTACGTTAAAATTAGTATTTATTACAAGAGCTCATGATGACTGACTTTATTTTTGAACTATTTTGTGGGTTGTGATATTATAAAGAATAAGAATTGATGGTATAAGATTTATGACACTTTTACCCTCTCTCATAAAAATAAATTTTTAATCAGAAAAAGAGCAATAGAGTACAATGACAAACTCAAATTATGGCATTGGGGCCAAAATGTTTAAGTAAATGCTAGCAATAAAAATATAAAATATTCTAATGAATGTTACCTTTTACCTAGTATTTTCTACTCTCAATTTATTTGTATAAACAGTTTATCATACATACTTAGCGCTTAAACAATAATGTAATTTATTATACCCAGCATACTACACAATCGTATAATTCAAAAAAGGATACTATCTGCACAACAGTTCTTGTTTCTCATCTGGTGTCAAAACTATGTGTTCAGGCACTAGTTCATGTTCAGTTATATTAATTAGAAGTTCCGATTCCAAAAACTGTTCCAATATGTATTTAGGAGCCATATCAACTAAAGACTAAAAAAAAAATTATAATCTGTAATGTTCAATACACATTTGTTATGTTAAATTACCAAGTGCCATTTATATTTTATGAAAAATTAATTTAAATTTTAAGTACTATTAATTATTATGTGAAGATAATGATTCTCATTATCTACACGTAAGTACAATTTTTTTTAAAAACTATTATAATTACATACAAATTATTTTAGTAAATGTACACATTGTTATTTGTATTATGAATCATTTTAATGATTTACATGTTATATAACCTACTAAATTACTAATTTTTTTGTATAATTGAGATTATTAAGAATCAAACATACTTGTTTTGCACTTGGAGTCATTCCTTGTTGAACAACAATAATAGCTCGAGTAATGGTTTCTTCTTGCATCCTTTGACAGTATGTTTTTATAGTTTTTATACCAATTTTTGGTTCTTCGGGAAAGAAAACAAACATTTGATCTGAAATTTATTACAGATTATTAAAATATTGGAGGTTGTATAATATGGTACTTGTTATACCTGTAGGATCGTCATTATGTGCCACAAGGACTATTAAATCACTCCGTCCGGGTCTTTTTTCACTGTAAAAATGACAGTTTATAGTATATTGTACATAATACATTAGAGTACATATAAGTATATTATATTTAAGTAAATTTTAACAAACCTAGGTTTATCTCCAAATTGTTCTTTAAACTGTTCTAATGTTTGATCCAATTCATCCTGCGTGACTAAATAACCTCTGTCATGGCAAAGCTATTATAAAAAACAATTATTCATTAATTAATGGTACTTTAAGATAATAGTACTTCCATTGGTATTCAATTTATGGATGCAGCATTGTATACAAATATGGTAAACCAACACAACTTATACATTTTTTTCTTTCTAGTTTTAATGTTAGTTTATTTATTTCTCAGAAGCTTCTGTGTTAGTTAGAACCATAGTTTTCCTCTATGTTATATTGCCCTAAAATTGCTAAAACTGTATGTTTAATAATGATAGGATTGTCTAATTATAATATGTTTAATATCAATATGTACTCAGCACTGTTATACCTGGTTATACCTATTATCTATGTATGGTAGACATCCTAATTCTGTTAGCTTATTGATCTTTATGATTCTTTTGAAAAATTAAAATGTATTTCAATATAATATGTATGTCTATCACAAATATAATTTTGTAAGTCCGGATACATACTTACTCAAAATGTTGAGAGTTTAGGGTAATAGGCTAAAGAACAAAATAAAAGGCAATCGAAAACTCATTGATGCATGTAAGATTCATAATATTAGTTATGTGCATTTTATTGGAAACAAAAATATTCAAGTAACAACATTTAGTTTACTCAAATTATAAAAGACATTGTGCCCCCTTCACAAACATTTTAGGTAATGAAAAAGTACTATCGTAATAGGTATCTACATGGTAATAGTTAATTTATGTTTTGAATCATTGTTTCATAATAGAAAAAAAAAAAAATTGTAATACTAAATAGTTCTAAATACTACAAATTGAATTTTTTGTGTTCCGAATACCGCAGTTTATAGGATACAAATTACACAGTAATAGCCAATTATTCCACCAATTGGAAAATCAAGACCATCTTGTCATTGTAAGTGTACATATTGGTGTAGGCATATAATTTCGTCTTGGTGTATATCTTACCTGCATAACAGTTTTTCGAATACGCCACAGTTTGTACGACTCACATTCGTCATCCATTTTGCAATTTTACTTAATAATTTAGAGATGGGTCGTTCGCGAACGAAGTAACGAACTATAGTTCAATTGAACTATTCACCCAAGTGAACGATTGGACCTAGTTCACTAAAAGGTGAACGACATCGTTCACCACTGAAATCGTTCACCCAAAGAACGTAAAACGACAAAACGACGAACGAAATCGTTCATTCGTTCATTCGAGAATCGAGAAAAACTTTTTACCGAAACGACAAAATGGTAAATATAATATAATTTTCGCTCGTTCAATCGTTCATTTCATCAAACCCCATGAGGCATGAAGTATGAACTAAGATAACATTATCTAATATCTATTATATATAATATTATCTCGAACCGTCACTTGTTAGTTGTTACAAATAAATAACAATAATATGTTTTTCACTGCACGAAGCCGATAAACATACTGAAATACTGAATTAGGTACTGAACACTGAACAGTGAATGAGTGAAACAATTTTTTTATTTCAATACTAATTAATTATTAAATGTCTTACCCCACTTAATAAAATGTAATAATATTGATTAAGAATATAGAATAAAACACCCTATGGACCTTTACCCTAATCTTGGTTTTTAACCAATAGAGCCGAAATAGGTATTGTAAGGGACTAGCCACAGTCCACAGGTGTCAGGTACCATTGTTATTTGTTATTAACAATGGATTTATGGATTTATAGATAGTGTCTACACTCTACTTAGAATTTCGTAGAAAACCACAGATATCTGAAATATCGAACAATATAGTGGACCTCAGACAGTTGGTACGTTTTTTTATAATATTATAATAAATAAACTGAATAACCAGGTTCGCCCGCGTGCAGTTTTTTATACTAACTATTTAAATAATTATAGCAAATTCAATGACCAAGAAAATATAATTTTCGATCAATTTTTCCATTTCTACCCCTTTTAACCCATGTTGTGGTTGAATTTTCGAAAAATCCTTTCTTAGTGGGTGTCTACATCACAAAACGAAACTTATATATTATCTGAAATACAGTAAATCTTGCTTAAGGCGCTGTTTCCCAACGGTCCTTTTTTTCAATTCCCACATACGACGCTTTCCCGCTCTAGAGTCTAGAGAACTGGTTCCTTGAAGAGCGTCTTAAGCTAGTTTTAATGTATATTGTATATTTACTGTTTATTATGTATATTGTATATTTACTGTTTATTATGTATATTGTATATTTACTGTTTATTATGTATATTGTATATTTGTATAATATAGGTCCCTAAAATAATATGCCCCCGGGGCAAAAATTATCTTAACCCGAGCTTGGTTAAAGCAGCTTGTATGCATGGTATAGAGACTATAACAATTAAATTCAAATATTTTTGAATATATTTTGATACTACTAAAGAGTAAAGACCTTAAAAAAATATATATAAATAAATAAAAAGTACAGAGAGTACTATTTGTCAAATGTGGGCATTAACTTGTTAAAAAGTTAAAGTTAAGTTAAAAAGTTAATTTTTTACACAGTGTTAAATATCTTGGTAAATGTTTGTGTATAACAAAGTACTGAATCACGGACGTTTCGCACTTTCGCCCCCGCCATTTCGTCCCCTAATAAAAATAAGCTCACGGACGTTTCGTCCCCATCTATTATTAAGGTAGGACATTAATTGGTCGCCGGGAGTTCATATTATCGACGTTGTCGTCTTCGTCCCGGGGGCAAAATGTCCTGTCACAATAATAGACGGGGACGAAACGTCCGTGGACTCGCTTTTTTGAAGGGGACGAAACGTCCTTTTACCTAAAATACTATGGTGGCTTATGACTTAAAAATATTCTACCTTCAAAAAAATTAACTTTTTTTTAACTGAGATAAGTTAATTTTATTTTCTATCTTAACTTTTAACTTAACTGAAGGCAATTTAATTGAATTAACTTAACTTTCAACAGTTAATTATTTTCATTAACATGCCCACCATTGCTATTCGTATGGGACATGGGTTATGTACGTATTCTTTCAATGAACTAGTTCAATTAAGCAAGTGAACGACGAACGATGAACTATACGTATTCGTTCAATTGCATGATGAACGATGAACTATACGTATTCGTTCAATTGCATGATGAACGATGAACTATACGCATTCGTTCAATTGGATGATGAACGATGAACTATACGTAGGTATATAATACGTATCGTCCGGGGGATGAGGTGACCGAGTGGTCTGACGCAGCCGGTCGCGGTTCGATCCTCGGCTACCGGGCGGCATTTTTCTCCGGACAAGTCGCGGTGACCGGAGAACAAGTGCTGCCATCCCCCACCCCCGGGGCGTGGCAGAAACTTACGGGTGCCCCATTCGAAATTCTGCCAAAAACAAACACACACGTGTTCCCCCCTATCGTCCCAAAATATACAATACAAACCTACAATACAAATCCTACTACAGCTAATGGCCTCAGTTGCCGAAGCTTAAGATCAATAAAAAAAAAAAAAACAAAAATACGTATCGTTCAGTTCGTCCGTACAGTATATATTTAGACGTATCGTTCAATGAACTAGTTCGGTAAACTAGTTCAATTAAGTGAACGATGAACGAATGAACTAGTTCACCTAAGTGAACGATAAATCCCATCTCTACTTACTATTTATCTATATCTCCTAATGGCCTAACCGAACACTTTGACACCGGGTAAGATTTGCTTATTGTTAGTTTTGAACACGAATTGAGATATTTATTCGTGGTGTAGAACTACACCGTGGAATTACGGTTAAAGAGCGGATTTTAAAAATTAAAAATATGATTTTAATATTCTCTAGAAAAACCTTTAGCTGGTAATAAATATTATTTAGTATTTTTACCTAAAATAATTTAAAATTCATAGACTAGTATTATAATAGTCAATAGAAACATATTTTGTACGTAATAATAGAGTTTACATTAATCTTTATATGAGTAATATTTACAAATATACAATTTACATTTACCATCCAATAAGTTATTAAAAAATTTCAATCATTTTTATACATATTAAAAATATTTTTTTTTTCATGACAATAATTTCAACTCGAAAAATTAACATATATAATTTTTTCATGAATAAATTTTTCAATTATATTCTTTAATATCGTATATAGGATGTATATTCTCCAATAAATTTAAAAAATATGCAAGATAAAAGATTTTTATCGGATTTTGTAACAGATAAATCGTACATATTTTTCACTCCTGTGAAGCTGCATGAGTCAATATTATGTTAAAACTTAAACATTTGCTCTCTAGTTATAACTTTCTAATGTATGATGATATAGCAAATTTCCATTCGCCAGTGTGCTGTTCATTTTTTTAATATTAGAATGAATTTACCTAGTATTAGAATATGATCTAAATCTAAGAAATTGGCCTATTATCAAACTTTTATGTTAAAAAATTATCTGTGTTGGTCATTTTCAAACATTAATATTTTACATAGGTACTCTAACTTACTTAAAAATTAAAATATCTTAAAAACCAATTAAGAAGACACAGATTATGTTTTTACATAAAAGTTTTATAACAGGTAAATTCACTTTAATATTAAGACTAACACAGCACACCATTGAAACTGGTGAACAAAAAGTTCCCATGTACGAGCGTAAGAAGGAGACTACATGTACGGGTCAGACATCTTTTTACAATGTACAGATCAAGATTAAGATAAAACAATCAATACGTATTTCTGCATTGATATGCTTTCTAGTGACCCAAGTATAAGTCTGTGCACCATGTTTTATAGTTTACACGTAGTTATCATCTAAAATCTAAATCTCATCCATGCAGTACATCAGATTCATCATTCATGACAAAATAATTTGTCATAAATAGTTCAATAGATGAAAGATTATAACATGGACATATTATAATCAGTGTCAGAATTGGGAAAATTTAAAAAGGGGTACTCTGTTTACCTATACAAAATTAGCACCCTCGTCACTTTTTATACTTCGTTAGTCATTATAATGAAAAAAATAGTAGAGGAACGCTAAGCTAAAATTCTTAAAAATTAGTCAAAGTAAGCACTCCCCCCCCCTTTCCCCTAAATCACTTCAGCACTGCATACTATACTAAATATATTATTATAAAACTGGATTATAATTACAGTGGACGCCGCTTATACTAATACTCACATTGGGACCAGCACAAAGTGAGGTTTTTGTTTTTTTTTTAGTTATAAACTAATATTCCGGAAATATATTGGAAAATGTGAAAGACGATACAATTTGTTGTCCATACACACATAATAAAGCAAAAAACATTAATTAATTTCTAAATTTTGACCAAAAATGTTTATTTTTTACCATTTTTTTTTACAAAATTTGAGTCTTAAAAACGAATTGTTGAGTCTTATAACCGAATTTTTTATAACGTATTTGGATACATCCAGACCGTTTCAGACAATTTTGAGTCTAATAAGCGACTGAACATTATATCCGTGAGTCTTATAAGCGGCGTCCACTGTATTTATAATAATTAAATTAACATCATAATTCATTCTATTTTATATGACTTGATTTAATTAATGTGAATAAGCTGATTCAACTTTGATATTAATTGTCTGTGTCTGTATCAAAACAGATCCTCATGATCCTGTGTATAAAATGCATTATATATTATATTAAATCCATAATTACATAAATTTTGCACTACAAGATAACTAAAATGACTAAAATCCATAGTAAATTACCAAATCTGTCACAGCACACAAACAGCAATGGCTCATAACACTCATTAGTTTAACAATGATTAAAACCACAGTTAGTTCAGTCATATCAAAGAGCGATTACCATAAATAGTCTACAGTCTAGACTCTATACCAATAATTGAAGACTACTAGGAAAATAAAACAACTTAAAAAAAATAATTTAACTTTACTTATGGTAGACAGAATTGTGACATAAAAATTATATTATTTAGATAATTTATAACGACCTCCTGTGAAAATCAAAAGATGTTGTTTAACTTTTTCGTCAAGGAAAAGACGGAGCTGTGTAAGGCTACAATCAACACCAGTTCCTTGGGTGGCAAACATTTTCAACATTTGATGAATTCTATCTAACGGCAATGAATCCAGATTGGTCAACATACCCACAATATATGACCAGAACACCTAT